CATATTTTCAGGCTAGATTGAAGCACATATATACCCTTTTTTTTCCATAGCACCTATGTTTTGCGCCTTTGTGGATATTTTTTCTCAGCATTCGTCAGGTTCAAGTGATCGCTAAGTTTCTTACATTCATAGTGTTGCATATAAGCCATTTGGTGAAAGGTCATGGATTTATCTTTGCCCTGCAGACCTGCAGAGAATTTACTTTTTTTTTGCTTCACTGCTCTATCTTGAATACTTGCAAAGCCATTTTGGCTGGAAAGAAAAAAATACTATGAACTGACATAAAGATATAATACAGTCTACACATCTCTGCAGCACAGGTTAGAAGCTTGTGCAATGGACTATTACACAGACATATCACGAGTATTAATTTGAGTGTAATGAGCACAAAATATACGATAAACTGCAAATGTGGCTCTGTAAAGTCTCTTTTAAGATCAGAGCCCGACATAGAACCTCTGTTTTTACCAACAGATTCAGACACTCTGCACAGGTGTGACATGAATCAACTCATGTTCTATAAAGCCTTATACCAACAAGCGGTAACAGCCATCAATCTGCAGCATACTGGGTTTACATAAGCCAACGTCACTGAGTTCATTCACACTTCTGACACATTTGAACACCCACTTCAGAGCAAAAAAAAAAAAAAAAAACAGCTCTGCAAGTGGGAAAAACAACTCTCCAATTAACACTTGTCAGCTCCAAACAATTATCTCTGGAAAACAAACACTTATTAACACTGGAAAATTAGCTGTATATTTTTGTCTTGAAGAACAGTCACCTTTTTTAACCGCACAGAGCAGAGTGGTCATGTGGTTTAAATGTTTCCACGTCTGTTCAGCAACTGTCAGGACTCTGTGGGGCTCCAGATATTGAAGTGGTCCAAACTATTACCAAGCAGCACTGAGTGCTAAAATGACAAGTGAGTCCAGCAAAAAATGTTCAGTTATAAAAGGAAATATATAGAAGAACAATTCTTTTTTAAAAATCATACAAGTCCTGGTCAATTTTATGATTCAACAACATGCAGTTTGTGCTGCAATGTACAAGGTCGCACCAAAACAGTTTTGGAAACTGGGCAGGAAGCCTCCTGTGGTTAAGCATGCATTAAAATAACTCTGCTTAGCTTTGCAGTTACCTTGTAATCTAATGTTATTTCTTTAACTGATTCTAATTAATAAATAATGATGCAAAGCAGAAGCTGTGAGAAGTGATGTTGTGTATGTGGCAAACAAACTACACACCCCTGGAGTAAAATGTAGATCTTAAATATATGTATTACTGAAACATTGGTGTGGTGCTCATATCATAAAAGTTTAATGAGTGGGTGGTAAAAGAGTTAATATGAACTGGGTTGCTTAACCTCCACTGAGCCGGCCAGCCATGGTCAGTCAGCACTCAGACCAGAGATGTGAAAGTTGTTAGTTCGAACCTGACAAGTTGAACCGCAGGAAAACGGCTGCTGAAAACTCAGCAGCAGAGAGAGCTGCTACTATTTCCATGAAATACAATATAACATCATTAGAACTCATTAGGGAAAGTGATCCTCCAGTGGGTAATAAATAAACCAGTGTTAGTATTACAGATGTGCTCTCTACAGTGTGTAAATTATACAGTGCTTTCTGTTTGGGGTCTAACAGTCCAAAACATACTTCAGATTGTTTTATCACTTTAATATTGGTCACTTTTGCTAATTCTATGAGAACTGTTTGAATCAATAATGTGTACCAGAAAATTTTTCTGTTTGCGGTCTCAGAGGCTGCTGCAGTAAAACACGGTTAAATACAATAGATTTTCATCTGCTCTGCTTGTGACTGGAGTTGACAGGATGTTTTATGTGGCGCTGCCTTCCAAAATCACAAATAGGGTTGTATTTCTGTTATTGGAGTTTATAAGTTTGCTCATCAGATGTCTAACTGACCCTAAACATGAGTATTGTCACTATGTAGATTAATAAACTGTTCATTGCTTTCTATGAATGATTTCTTCGACAGACAAAGGGGACTTCTATTTGTTCATGCATAGCCTATTTAACACACACAAAACATGAAATATTAAATTTTTCTGGTGTACTGCCACACATTTCCTTATGTTTTCTCTTTCAAGTTTGTGGCAAGGAGAGGAGTAACCACTTCAGTGCTTTTTGATAGTGTATTTCAATGGGAAAAAAAAAAAATATCAGTATTATATATAGCAAGAACTTAAGCAATATAGGTTGATATTGCAATTATCACATCTTTGCCGGGCAATGTTGCCATTTCAGATACAATATAGGGCTCTATCCCTGTTTGTAGCTACATGAGCAGTATGTTAAACCTGCAATTACTTTTCATGTTTGTGTTTTTTTTTTTTTAACTGCTGTGTAATTTTACTCTGTCTTCAAAAGCTGATACAAGCTGGCACAAAATCCAGTACCAGTGTATAAGTAGGAGTAATCACATCAGCTGTCACAGTGACCAGACCCTCATCAGAATAGGACCTGACTCTGCCAAAAATTAAAAAATGTGTTTTCCCTTTCCCTCAAATATTCCCGTTTTGGCTTCAGAAAGCTCTACAGCTGCACTTTCTACACACAGTAAACAGCAATTATCACATAACAGTAGATGTTACCTTGGAGCTGCAACTACGTGGCAGCAGAAAATTATAATTATCTGCCGTAATGGCTAATTTTACAATAATAAAGTTGCATTTATTTATTCTGCTCCCCTATTGCAGTTGCAAATTTAAATTGCTGACAGGCCCTGTGCTTTTACTTTTAAGTCCTGACTGACAATGTTTCCACTTTCAACTGACATTTAAATGTTGCAGTTGCTTCCTATATTATAGTGGGAATGAACACAGCTTCAGTGTTTGCCAGCAGGAGTAGGTTTAGTCGTTATCGTCACTGGAGATATAAATCCCTCTGTCAAAGGCCAAAGTTCTGTTTACATCTCAGGCTATTGAACATAGCCGGTTTGACCACTGAGGTGCAGCAACAATGATTAATCAAGCAGAGACTCAACCTGGCTGTTAGTTCACGGTTCAATGATGCTCACCATCGCATTGATTCATGACTCATAAATTATTGTCATTTTCATTACCCAGCAGAGCGGACAAGGCCCATAAGTCTTGACACAACAACCTGAGCTCCAAGTGAAATTTCAACTCTACCTTGACTAATAAGATACTGTTATTCATATAGATTGAATTGGCAGTGCTTCAACAACACAAAGCATGGTAGTTAAGATGTGTTAAGGCTGACCTGCCTCTCGCTTTCTTCTTTGATGTCACTCAGATAGGTTTCTTCCAGGGAGGTTGATAGCTATTTCACTCACACATTAATGCTATAAATAGGTCCAAATGTACCCAGGCAGCGCACTCATCTCCAGGAATTTTCCACACGCGAGCTCAGATGTTTTTGTTTATTCCTAATTACCGTTTGGTCTTAATAAATGTGAGCAGTATTTAAAAGAATATTTGCAAATGTGCAAATTTGATCTGCCTGAAAAGCATGGTGAGAGAAAATGATAATAGAGGAAGTGATACATCAGTGGTGAGGCTCACAGCATCCTCCCTGTTTCGATTTCTGTTTAAGTGTACACACTTTAAGTCTGACAATGAGCCCCCAAAACAAGCAAACATCACATCCACATTGTCTTGGAGAATAAAACTCCTGTGATGTCCCTCTGTAAAATCAAACTGGATGTCATTGAGAGGAAAACCATCTCCTCAGGGCTGGGATTAACTCAGACAGACAATATGCCCTCGCCGCTGTGTGCACTTCATTTATTGCACATTACAGATTCTCCTACTTACACTGTTCCAGTTACCCAACATGCCATCGACGGCACATGGGGAATGCAACAATTTACTTTGAGGTCTACTTCAATTTATGACAAAGCAGATCATGGGGGATGAGACGTGAAATGTTTAGACAGTGGTGGCTAGTGGGCTTGGATCTGACAGGGCTGAGAAAGGATTGAATTAATGATGCCACGTTTGAAAACTCATTTTTATACAGATAAACAGTGTGAAATGATGAAATCCAATTAGAGCAATAAGGGACGCTAAGGCAGGATCCAAGAGTATTAAGCCATCTGCCAGTGAGTAAAGATTGCTGCAGGGCTGCCTAATTGAATTTTATCCTCTGACTGTAAATCTTACGAGTGACCCAAATCAAAAGAAAGTTTGCCTAAACGTGAAAAGCAAAACCAACAGCCCTTGCAAAACTGTCATATAATCTTAAGATTATGTGCAGTGGAACAAGGTGAGAATTTGCTCATACACAGAGCCTGCCAGGAAAAGTCTGGAGCAGGAAACATATTAAAGAGATGAGTGGAAATCAGCTTGATTTTTTTTTTGTAATGCTCAGATGGAACAAGAAAAGATGATGATGTCAAGCCGTTTTGACTTCCTTCTGTGTCAGAGACGTGGTGACATTTAAATAAAACTGATCATAACTGCAACAACCACTGACAAGCAGCTATATTCTCAGGAGAGCATATCCTATCATCATCCAACCTCCTACCTTTCTGGACACTGAATGTATGCAATAGTGAAAACACTGTATTATGTGTTTGGGCTATACTGTCAGAGGCTGTGTTGACTAGATGTTGCATCCTGGAGTGTGTGAGCAGGCAGCGTCTTTGTGCAGCCACTGAAATCCCTCTCATGCTTCTTAGAGCAGCCTCAGTCCCATTTACATGAAAATACTAACACAGTTGACTTACACTGAAACCTATGTAGCCTCCACAGGTGCAATAGCCTTTGTCTGCAGGTTTGAACAATCTGCATCAGTTTCCCACCATCAAGCTCATCTGCATATAAAAGCTTATATGATAAATGCAATTTAATTCCCACGCAGGCATGGTGGCTTTACTGTAAGTGAGTGAAATCTTTATGAATTTCAGGAGAACACACACTAAAGTAAGTTGGTGTGGAACATGAGCATTCAAGCAAATTAGCCTGCACAAGATAGAAAGCCGCATCCCCCACACAGCATCAGTGATATAATTCACCTGTGATCCTCGGAGTCTGTCCGTATCCGTCAGTGCGCTGGGTTGAAACGCAGCCTTCGGACTGTTGGACAGCGGAGCCACGACAGCAACAAATGATCTGTGGTGAAGAGATGGAAACTGACGCTCGTTAAGCCAGTCAAATGCACAGTTTCCCCGGAGGATGCTCGCAGGTCATCAGCGTGTCGCGCTCAACTTTGATCGCCACAGTGAGTGAAAGCGCTCCGTCTCCGGCGATCCGCCGCTGCAAGTGCCGCGCAGCTACTGATGTCCCTGCTCTACACTGGCACTTTATTTCTCACGGTGACAAAAAATAAATAATTTAATAAATGGTGGGGGGTGGTGGGGCGCCAAGTTCAGGCGAGCGGCCGCTAGATGGGGCAGTTTAAAGTGAGTGAGGACCAACAGGCAGTCAATTAGTGAGCCGAAGAGACGTTTCACAGGTCGGTTCATGAGGTTCACACACCATTGTGATTAACGACTTTATATAATTATCTCGCATTAGGAAGTCGTTTCCATGACACATTTTGGTCACTGGGTAATTTGTTGCCGAATGAGAAAAGAATAAAGCACATTAGCCTACACAAGGAGGGGAAAAGTAAGTAAAATGTAGTGCAGAATCAGTGTTGGATCATGCAGGGCCACAGCAAGGATTTTACATTCATTGAGCCAGCCCCCCATGATCCACCACTCTGATTAGTTTGAGCAAAATTATGGAATAATATTTGGATTTTTCCTATTTTATTTCTTAAGTTAACTATTCATTTATACTGTCTTTTAATTTAGGCTGCAAAAGTAGTCTTAAGCGGGCCCCAAGGGGGTCCTCAGAGTTACTGCAGGGGGGCCACCAAATTATTTCATTTGTTTTATGAATTATTTTGTTTTAACACAATAACACAAACTCAATGTATTATTAGCAAAGATAAATTGACTTATTCATAAAATATTTTAATGACAGGCTAACTGTTACTCTTGAATCCCAGACACTCAGGAGAGCCTCTCAACCTTGCTTCCAACTTTTTCCAGTGGCCACCCGCGATATTGCAGCAAAAATCCCTTGTGGCTCAAAAAGTATTTCTCCCATAGACCACCAGTATAAAACAGACATATGTAAAACCTCTGACAGAACTGCAGACAAGGTCAGTTATGAATGACTCTCTCTTTTATGAAATTTTATCCATAGAGGTTTTTGTAAAACTTACCTTGAGCAGAGAAAAACAATTCTGTTCAAAGTCTGTGAGCTGACCTGGAACTCATGAGAGACACTTGTGTGCATATTCAGTGAGCAGAATATTATTATATTATCATCATATCGTGGAAACAAACTCGGGAGCTAGAGACGTTTTTGGTGTATGCGCCATAGGAATGAGTAGGCGCCATCTTGGCATCTGGCATCTAGGTATCATTAAACATCTATGATGAATCCTTTTGTAGTCATGTGAGCTAGCTAACACCAAATCACTGTGCAACCACTGTCCATAACAGTAAGGTGAACTAGTTAGCTAACTTTACATACTATTGAAATATATTGGCCAATTAGCTGTATAATATTCCAAGTGGGCGGACGTTCTTTTGAGCCATGATGGATCATTTTGTAATTCTTCAAGCAAGAGACTGTGACACACCGTCCACCTCAGAAACCCCTAACAAAAGTGCAGAGGGTGAGGCTAAGGCACCTAGCCATGCTATAACCGTTGCTGACTAAACAGCTACAGGCAAGTAAAACAAGAGAAGACCTGTAAATATTTAGAGAATTATCCCAAGTGCAACTCAATTTTATACAATATATGTAGTAAAGGGTTCCTGCTCTGTCTCTCTTTGAGCTTAGCGGTCCTTGGCTTGAAAAACGATGAAGACACCTGGTCTGAAGGCCCAAACACACTGAAGCATTACACTATTTTTTGCCCCGGCTTCGACTGTTTCGATTTGGAGCATTGATGAAGACCCAGCAGCCACAGCTGTGTTTTCTGCAGCCACAGTGTAAGGAGAGAGCTAAAAGGAATAAAAAGGTAAGGACAATATTTTATTAAAGAAATTAATTACTAAAGGTATACCATGCAGGAATTATGGGCTACTGTTTGAAAACAGCATCACCAGCAGAAGTGAAAGTGAAAGCCAATCCTAGATTCACACCACTTGGCATTTTACCTCACTTTATTTGTGCTTTTTGTGCTGTGTCCACAACCAGGTCTCACTTTGAAGCCGTCGAAATCCAGCACTTGGGCAGTGACTTCCGGCATCAGATACCGGGGAAAAAAGCCATAATTTAATGTTGGCATGATATGCAGCTGGTTGCTGTTTTAGTGTAGAGGCAGCTGGTGGTGTCAAGGGGAATCGTGGCAGGAAAAGACTAAAGTTAAAGCAGAATAAAGGCTAGAGTAGGGTGGGTGGATCCAGCAAACACTGACTTTCACCCATGAGAGCAGTGTTGGCATCCCATAAGAATATAAAGCCAAACCCTGTTCTTATTTTTCTAAACCCAACCATGTGCTTTTGTTGCCTAAACCCATTCACCACAGTTGTCGAAGGGAAAAAAGTATGTTTTGCCATGTTGTACTGACCTAGTGTGTTTATTTTGAAAGAGACTGTATGTAGATGCTGAATTTCCTGTGAGAACAAAAGTGTATTTTCAAAGAAGACAATGCATGTAACAGGCAGAACTTGACACAGCTTCCCAGAACGCCAACAATCAATGCACCCACGGACCCTTGCACATTGTATCTGGACATGAAAAGTCCATGACCAAACATCGATATGTGACGAGATCGCAGTGAGAATGTGTTGGTCATAATTTCCTCTTGGTTGCGAGCTGCTTCCATTTGGCACCTGATCACCTTTTTATAAAGTCACAACCCCACCTGTGCACTGTGCCCAGGTAACACAACAAATTAAGAAGGATATAATAAAATACAGGCTGAGGACAGGGTCTCTGCAGGAAATACACCACCACACTCTCCTGGTGTGGCTACTTGTAGTTACGTTCGTGTGAGTCTGTATAATGTTTATTTTTTATTAGGAAAATCCTGCAAAGCTTACCCTTAATAATAGTAATGATGGCCCACAAAACTAAACAGTGTTCTGCTGCCAACCACCTGACAAAAACAGCAACATGCATCAAACGGTTGCCCTCCTGACTCATGTAACATTAGGCTACCTCAACAGAAATTTATAGAAAATTAACGGGGGTTATATAAAGCATATTGTTCCCGCCTACTTGCGTCCTTTTCCCAAAATACTGCTGGCTCTGTGGAGTTGGAATTTCATATAACATTATTCAAAGATTGATGGGGGTATCTGTAATACACACACAAAGATGCCTAAATAAAGATCTTTTCCTAAAATACTGCTGGTTCTGTGGTGTTGGCATTTCGAGTATGATGCTTGCAGTGTGGCAAGGTAGCATCATGTCAAATGAGACATTTCAATTATCACTTTCAGTGTGTTTGCCCCTTTAATATTTTAAAGCCTTCTCCACACTGCCATGAATAAATTCTCTGGCTGAGAGATGCTGCAAACTTTCATCTATTTATTATTTTGCTGGAATATGGTAATTACAGTTAAAAATGTTGAATCTAAAAATACTGCATTCCGCTTATCAAGCACTCCTGTACTAACCTATAAGCATACTTAATACAGTTGTGAGGTATTTGTACTTTACTTTATTTGATTTTTTTCTACCTGCAGCTTCTGGTCCAAAACATTTCAGAGGGAAATACTGTGCTTCTCACTTCACAAGATTCATCTGACAGCAGCTAGTTTTCTGATAAAGATGAAGAGTGTACAGCCTCTAAGCTCTCTAAGCTGTACTTGTACATCACCACGCTCATAGTGACAATGTTTAGAAGGTAAAAATGTGGAAGTGGCAATGGACTTTTATTTCAACAAAACTAAAGACCTTTACACCATAAACTGATGCAAATTTGAATGCAGGAAACGAAACCTACGTCCTTGGCTGAGGCTGAGGTGAATGTCATGGGTTTTGCAAGTATTTAGCAAGCGGCAGCCTCCAGGGCTGAAAAAATTAAGCCAACAAAGAAGTGCCAAAAACTGCAGTTCTTTGAACAGCCGCTTGAGGTTGGCTCCAGAAGCGAGTTAATCGCCATAGACCCCTTATTAAAATGCCCAGCTTTACAGCAGAAATAAACATGTTTACAGATCCATAACTAATTTCCGCATTCATGACAACTATATGTGGGGTGAATTTTTTTATAACTCACCCATTTACGTTTCTTTAAGCCCTAAAATTACGCATAATTAAGGGGAGGCTGCTTTGAGTGACAGGCTGTCTGCTGATAGTGTCTTCCTCCCCTCGTTCCTCCACAGCACCAACCTCTTGTCCAAATTTGGTCACTTCTGGCTTCAAGATGGCAACGGACCAAATGCCGAACTCGAGGCTTTAGAACAGGAGTTCACAAACCAATGGGTGATGTCATGGTAACTACATCCATTTTTTTTTTACAGTCTACAGTATTTAGTCATGAACTAAAGTTGGTCAAATCAATATTTTGACCTGATGATAGTGCCAGAGAAAAAGTCAGATTCATTGGGATTCATCCTCTGGGGTCCATGAATGACTGTACAAAATTTCACGGTACATTAAAAATTTAAGTTTCACGGCTATGGAAGTGAGCCTTCAAGCATACTGACGGTCGGGCAGAGTAAGAATTGAGGTTGCAGAAAGAGCAAAATATAACTTGTGCTTGTCTGCACCTTACTATGAACTGATGCCCATTTCCATCATGGACCAGCCTTCAGAAAATGAAAATTCCTATCTCCTTTTTTCCCCCTTTCTCTCTATTGTGTGAGTAAATTGGGATTCACACAGAATTACAGCCTGGCAGGTTCTGGTCGTATGGTTTTTGATTATAACTTTTATTCTCCTCTTTTTGGAAAAAAATACAAAGAAGAAACAGTCTCAACCAAAATTATATTGACATATCATATTCCAGTTACACAGGCTTTCATAGTATAAGAATATAGAGCATTTAATGAATATTATTTAAGATTTGACTATGAAGTCTGTGAGAACTGCTCCCAAATGTACAGCACTGTGTAATCACTCTCTTAAAGTACTTGCAGTTCCTCTATAAAATTAAATGGATGATTAATTTAAAAAAAAAAAGATATTTGAGAAAATAACATAATGCAGTGTAATACAATAAACTAAACCACCCAACTGTAATAAAGTAACCGTAGAGTGAGCTCCACTGTAGCCAGCTACATTATAAGTTATGCATCAGTAGGAATAATCCAACATTATGATATAAATTATAACTGATAGAAACCAGTTTACCTG